AATCCAGAGGCAAAAGTGGAGGAAAGCAGCAAAAGTCCCAAGACAATTCTGAGCYGCCCAGCAAGCCAACACACTGCTTTACGGGCTTCAAGGAGCCCATGGGCTGTGTGTAGTGCTGGCAAGGACACCCCTGGTGCCTTCCTTTCACCTCAGCCAGTACAGAAGTCAGGTATCCAACAATTAATCAGCAGAATCACTGCACACTTGGTCCCCATTACTCAGTTCAGATCCCTTTACAGGCCAGATCCAGTAAGGAACAAGAAGTTACTCTGCCTGGATAACCAAAATGCTGCAATTCCCATTTGTGATTCTTTGTTAAGTCTTTCTTCATTAGTTACAGTAGAAAGGGAGCAACCAGCTCCCCAGAGCACACCTTCAAACCCCTTAGGGAATTTCAAAGCACAGATCCCATCACCTGCAATAMTTACTCTGTGTCACAGAACACCACATTTCACAGGAAAGCACACAAATATAGGCAGAATTCTAGAGAAGAAATAATGCATCATTGCAGATTTAGGCTAAGAAACAGCATTATGGAAAAGAAATTAACCCTGGAAACATTACATTCCCACCAGCAAAGACAAAAATTCCCTAATCAGCCTAATGCTGATATCGCAGTTTTCATGTACTCTTGTTTCTTTTYCACGTAGCACTGTCTGCCTCCTTCTCTCCAGCTGGTCTAAGGCAACAAAGRGTCACCAGTGCTGTTATCTTTCAGTTCCTGGAGGCTACCCGCTCTGGCAAAATGCCACACTTCCTGAGCAACTCTGTCTTGCCCTAGAAGCTAAAGAAATATTCCTTAGCTGAACTGTTAAACTTTCATTTCCTATCTGAGGTTGTATCAGCATAAGCAGCACTTTAAAGTCTATTTTGGTGTTTGCTCTTTTTTCTTTAAATCTCTGAAAGATCCTTCTCAGGACTGAAAGCTAGAAATGAGCATGAACGTGATGTGTTCTTTGTACAGCAAATGCAAACTTTTTTAAAAAAAAAGAATTTGAGGTTTTTTTCCATTAAACTATAGAAGGTAATTAACAGGGAAGTGTAAACAGTTAGCAAATGTGAACACAACAGAAAAGGCTGCTTGACTCTCTTTTATTCCAAATGAAATGGAAAAGAGGAGGAGTAATAACTATCTCAATGGAATTTGTCACATATGTTTTTTGCACTTATCTTTCACATCTTGTTCTTTCACAGCATATTAGATGCTGGAAGAGAAGCTGCCTTCTTCAACTTCCTGCATTAATCCAGACCAAAACACGTCACCCATAGCTGTATTTTTATCTCCTTGGATACTGGGGGTTTCAGTGGTTTGGGCATATGGGAGGTTTTTAAATTGTTATTAATATGACTTCTGAAACAATTTCTAAAAAGTTGAAAGTCCCATCTGCTCCCCATATAACCAAAAAACGTACCATGGTACTGGTTTCTATCTTTCTTGATGTTGCTGTTACTGACACCTTTCATCACCTGTAATAGTCTTATCTCATTAAAAAAGCAATCAGAATATAATGGCAATCACCTAATTGCTATCCCCACTGCTGGTTAAAAAAGCAGTCTGTTGATCAATATTCATGCACAGAGAAGAGTAAATGTATCCTAAAATTTTCATGGACACAATGTCACCTGGAGTACTTTCCTACGTTTTTGATTTTTGAATTATTTCTCACAAATTCATTTGCTTTAATACATTTTTGCATTGAGACTGCTCCTTTGAGGTGCTCCCATAGCCTACTCCCTTCACCCATGGAGGACACGGAGCTGAAGACCCAGTGTGGCTTTGGTCAGAGTCGAGCAGAGGCCCTTGGTAATTCCAATCCTCTTGATTTATTTCCAACACACCGTGCTGTGTCACGTAGGCACATGCAGCGTGAGACCATTTCCTTCCCCTGCCCGGCCCTGGAGCTGAATGGGTGGGGATGTAAATAGCAGGTGGGAGGAGGCTGTGGGCTCCCTGAGGAGCAATGCTCGGCTGGTCCTGCAGCAGCTGCCGTAAGAAACACGGGGCAGACACACAACCAGCCCTGGGCCACTAGGGACTCACTCACTGATGGTTTTGGCTTTAATGAAAATCTCAGTCTGGAATGCTGAGTGACCCAACGACAAGCTGGTCTGTTTACAGCAGGGGTGTATTTTCAGCTGCAAGTTTTGTGCATCTCTGCCGTGGCTTTGGCTTGTTCTAAGGGCTAATGCCAGYAATATATTCTCTTTCATACAAGCTGGAATCATTGAGAAAAGTTACCTTCCTGTGCTGCTTCATTGTTAAAGGTTCTGAATCACCATGTCCCTCTGTGAATGCAGTTTCCCTCGTACCAAAAGCTGGCTCATCAGAAATACAGACACCTATTCAACAAAACAAAAAAATAAATCCATTGAAGGCAGCAGGAATCCTACTTTTAGCATGAATGAGCTTTGACTTTGGTGCTTGGGGCTGCATCCCAACCTCATTGTCACAGTGTTCTCTCTCCTTTTACAGGGCATAAGAGGCATGGTGCACAGGCATCTCCAGGTGGATGCTTGGTCAGTAAAAAGTGGAACAGTTGGCATCACAGCCTGCATAACAGATCTAGCAGGCCAATAAGGTGCACATCTACTTCTGTTTCTGTCTGTCTTCAAGAAGTAACAAAGAGGAGGAATAGGAGTTGTYGGTTCTCTCTGTTAAAGGCTGTTGCCCCACTGTGCTTCTCTTCATGRAGCTTTATTCTCAAATATTTGATTTTGCTTTCCTAATAAAAATATGGTCAAGGGTATTGCCTGTTAGCACCTGGCATAGTCAGTGGACAGATTCTAAATATGTTAGAGTGGTTTTGTTTGTCACATTTTTGGGGTAGCGAGAATTGTATGAATCAGTTTTTCCATCAATAGAATTTGCCACATCTTCTGAAACCACTCAGTGAATGAGTACGTGGTTTGATTTCCACACTGCTGCTATTGTTTTTCAGGTTTTCTCTGATTCTTACTCATAACTGAATGCCACATGCCTAGAGAATGGGGAGAAGACACTGAACCAAAGATCAGCCACACATGTCATCTCTCACAAGATATTTCATACCTTTTCTGCTGATTCTTTTCCCTGTCAAGTTGTGTGCTCAAGGGTGCCATTGATTCTTTTTGCACATAGGGTATTCTCTGGTCTTAGTTAACCAGCTCCTCAGGGAGCCAGCTTTACTAAAAATACAAAGCAGACACTACTGTGACAGCCAAATATATTGTCTCAGAGAAGTAGCAAATAAATAGATCCCATTTGTCTCCAGGTTAATTTGGAAGACGAGGATATGTAGCAGAAAACACATCAAGTCCTATTGCAGGCTCTTGGGAAAGTTATGTTATATTAACCCAACTCCATCTGCAGCTCTGGAACTTGAGAGCAGCAGCAGAAATGGCAAAGTAGCTTCCAGCTGAGTAAGCACACATTTTATATAGCAGCTTGTTTTAATAAAGCATTGTTCTCTCCAATATTGAGGGTCCTAGGGCTGTAAGCAGCACAAAATCAAAAAGGCCTGTGGAAAGTTTAAGACTCAAGAAGAATAATCATATTTATTACTGTCAGAATTTACCAACAATGTTTGCAAAGGCATTTAAAATGGAAATCTGCCTGTCTTGTGCTGAAGCATCACAAAGCAAAATACCAATCAACTTTTCAGTCTGACTAGGACATCTGCTCATTCTACCTCCTAGATCATCTCTGAGGTAAATAGTGAATGAGTTGAATTTTACTCTGCTGCTGAGGTGCAAGGTTAAGGACATACGAAAAAGATTTGTTTGAAGCACCATTCTTGAGAGAAAAGACCATACAGATTATTTCTTTCATATTTCCACAAGAAACACAGATGAAAAGTTAAAAAATAACTTTTAAAAATCTTCTGGAAATATCCACATGCAGAGAAGATTAAAATCATATGAGATATGGGCGTTGCCATAAGTCAAGGACACTTCTGAACACATGTGATGGCTATTCTCATTAGCCTTGATGGGATGAAGTGTATCAGAGAAGTTCACGAGAGCAAGTCCTATCACAGTGGTGTTTGTGTTGCACAGATGACATCTGGCATAAACAGTTCAGTTTTGTGAAAGGTTTGTTTTATAAACCTTTAGTATTGGACCAAATAATAACAGGTTCCAGCCCAGGTGGCTGTGGTGACTCCRACACATTTGCAATACTGGCTTAGTCTGTACCTCACGTGTTCATTTTTTGCATTCTCCATATCCTTGTGCTATAGGACACCAGAGATTGATACCCTCATCTCCTTCCAACCCCATCCAGTCTGAATTTACAGCTGCAGTAGAACAGTCTGATTGGTTTCTTGTTTCCAAGAGACAACATCTTCTCTTTCTCTCTGTACTTTTTGAAACAGCAAAAAGTTTTCCCCGTGGTTTGCCTGCATTTTTTTTCACATTGGTAATCCTTAACATTTTTAAGCCTATCTGCCACTTTATTCCCCCAAGTGAACTCCTGAAATGACAGTACCACTTTTCTGCAGAGAAGCCAAGCAGAGCTGCACAATGCTGGTGACAGGAGGTACTGCCACCCAAGTGCCACCTTTGACAAGGCGCTGCCGTCCGCGCTGTATCRCAATGACTGTGCCCTCATCGCCACCTCAAAGCACTCGGGCTCCCAGGGCAGGCATGGAAATAAATAACCAGAACTTCTAGAATTGCATGGATAATGTGTTGTAGCCACCCTGGCCCAGTTTGGGCCCTCCCATCAGATTTTATGAACAGAAGAGGGTTGGGTCTGGCTGATAATTTAGGAAAAGGATGAGAGGGGAAACCCCCAACACAGCAGGAACTGATGTTAGTGAAACAATAGCTGGAACTCTGACTCATTGATGAAGCAATGTCCTAACATGAGCATCAGAGGACATGCTGTACTGCAGAAAGAGCCAGCTTCTGTATGAACTGCACACCAGGAGACCTAAAAAATGCTTAATTTTGAAGTTGAAAATCCCTCTACACATTTTTCAAGAGTGAGATCAATATTCCCTAAGGTGGCTTTAGATTTGGTAAATACATTTTGCCAGACTCCAGCAGTTTGAACTGGATTTTAGCCTGTCCTTTGCTTCTCTGTTCTCTACAGTGGTAGAGCATTGCACCATAAGCAGCATTAACTAACAAGTCTCTGTATTCACTTACCATACAGCACACGAGTGCTTTAAAAGTATTTCCTGACTTTAGCCATCAGATCATGCAGAAAGTTTGAGAAGTCTGCTAAGATGAGTTCAAGAGCTCTTAGATTGGTGGAAATGTCATAAAGGAATGCTGTGTTTGGGGCAGGCAGGCAGGCTGATTATGTGTGTAGTATGATCACAAAGCCAGAGGGAAAACAGAAAAAACTGAGCTCACCTGCTTGCCTGAAGCCAATCTTCTTATTTCCTAATCCAGCTCTTGCTCTCACTACCTGAATGAAGTCACACTTGGAAAAAGCTTGTCCTTTAGGTCAGAGGTGCAGTCACAAGACTGCCTTTTCTCTCCTGCCCCAGGTTTTGCATTTCAGGACTTGACGAAATAATTCCTGCCTAAGGTAAACAGAACTCAGTTCAGCTGAATAGAATAGATTTAGCCAAGATTTCAAGTGAACACTAAGAAATGCAAATCAGTTTAGGCGACAAGCTCAGTTTCAGAGGAAAATATTATTCACTGCAGATTTTTGAGAATGAAAACAGCAGCTGAGTCAAACTATTTCAAAGCCAGAATATTTTATATACGATCAGCTTAATAAATGGAAAAATGTGTAAATCTGCTCCTTCTAGAGCATTATAAAATGGCATTACATAGGAGATTGATTTCCAGAGCTCCCAGGAGTATGCTCTCTTTTCTTGATGCACGTCTAAGCACCATTAACACTGCTACCAGGGGGACAATATACATGTCAGTATAAAGCACATGATCAGAACCTTCTGAATTACAACTCCCTAATTAGTGTCCCTGTGTCAATTATCCCATTCAGGATGTCAAATATTTCATGAGGATTAAATTTCAAAATACATTGTCTCTCTGATATGTAAAATCCCAAAAGGCTGCTCAAACATATATCAGTGTTATTATTTCACATACAGCAGGTAAAAGATTAAAGTCTGCCACGTAGTTCTACAATTTTAAAGCMACCATGCTTTTGATACCATTTAATTTAGCTCTGCAGTTGCATCCATATACTTTTACACTGTGCCAAACATGAGAAAAAAAGGGMTTCAGGTTTTCAGTCAACATTTTCTTTTCCAAAACAGTGCCAGCATTGTAATTCAATTCCCAAATTGAACCTCTGTGACCCCTCAATCCAAAGAGAAAGGGCARGGGAGAGAAGGAGAGGAATAAGAAAGGGGTGCTCTACAATGCCAACCTCTGAGAAATCTTTGCTTCGTCTCATTCTCTTCACTGCCAGGAATGCGTGTGGCTGGGAGGTGAGCATACCCAGTTAGAAACATTTAGGCTTTCAGATTAAATCAAGCTTCCTCTAAGAAATCTGGTAACACATTAATATCCAAGTTATGAAACAAACTTGGCCTCCACCTGTTAGAGGAAGTACATCTCCAGGTGAGCAAAATAACACTGGGCTGATTTGACAGGGCAGAGGAACACACTTAAAATCTCTCTGCAGTTCCCAAACTGAAGTGTTTCCAGAATGAAGATGAACTGGTGAATCAAGACCTAAAATATTTTACATGAATGACAGTTTTAATGAGTCACAAATTGGAATTTTTTTTAAGTTACATGTTTTATTGTTAACCTTTCCCTGTCACTTTTCCACAGATGTCTTGATCAAAAAGTGGTTGCATAAAAATGCTCYAGTGAGCAAATTTACTGACTGAAACCAGAACAAAGAATCCTAATTGACTATTCAAGCAAATGCACAGAAAGTAACTTTTGAGTTTATAACTGTAAATATTGTGTCAGAAACTCAGCCCTTACAATGACACTCATCTATTTGAGACAGAAGCAAGTACCAGCAAGCCTAATCTGCTCATTGACATTAGAGCACACAATAGACCACTCTTGGACCAGCAACAACCCAAATATTAGTTCCTGAAATAATTAAGGAAATAATTTAAAATATCAAAGGAAAGAGAATCATGTTTGGTTACAAAGAGGCGCAATATAGTTGTCTATGGCAAATAAGTTGTCTATTACAAGGAAATATCCAGAGTCTCAGTCAAGGGCTTCTTGTACTTCATTTGTGCTGTAATAGCATATTGAAATACAGTAAAATGAGATATTAGAAACAGCCAAGTGTTGTGAAAATACAATGTTCTAAACTGTAGCATCTTTTAAGATCTCAAGCCAAGATTTTAGAAGAGGGGTAGAGAAATTTAAAACAAAACAAAACAAAAAAAAAATGAAACAAAAATGCCTCAAAATGCCTAGAAGAGCTTTACACATCGATGAGTTACATTTTATGAAGAAATTTCAAGGATATTTCAAAGTCCTGAAGTTAAGCTCCTGCCCTCAGTGCTCTCTGTAAGCAGGAAGTCCCTTTATCCCACCCCTGTGGGAGCTGTGAACCACTGAAGACAAGRACTCTTATTAGACACACGCAGAGCAAAAAGAGCAGAGTGGCTCCTCCCTGTGCTCTCATCTCAAAGCAGACCCTGAGCACAATTCCAATGCAAATAATACCAACAAACATTGACAACAAAGTATTTTCCCATTACTATGGAACACTTTTCCAAACTGCATTTTCCTTACATTTGCTATTTCATACCAACTCTATTAATAAAAGCCAGACGTCATTTTCACCCTGCCTTATCCTTTGCAGTGGTGCCTAAATTCACCAATTCATCAGTGCATACTACGTTTTAATAAGCCGGGGTCAACCTAATTTCCTTCTCCTAGTGCTCTCTCCCCCACAACTTCTTCTTCACGTGTTTCAGCTTTACTTTGAAGTGACTTCCTTGCCTGGCATGCTAAAATCCAGGAACAGAGTGCCTATCATTATAACTGCAGTTCATGCCCTGACTAGTCACAGCAGAAGGAGAATTAGACCATAATCTCCTAAACAATGTAGAATCTGTAAATCAAAACCAACCAGCTCTTTTTGGCATGCAGATCAATGAACYCGTGTGGGGGTATGAAAATCCAAGCAACTCTTCTAAGGTAAAGTCAGCCTCAGTGTATGAATTTGTTCAGCTCGATTTTTTTTTCTCTCCTCTGCCCTTTATGCCCTCAAAAGAAGGGTTCATAAAACAGCTTTTATTGTGTCCTGAAAAGCACCAGCTTCTGCTGGATCAGAGGGCAAAACAGGCACAYACAAGCTTAGAATACAGGCAGTACAGAGAATCAAAAAAACCTACCTTCAGTGCTACCCCACCTAGTCTGGATGGAAAGGATGTTTGCATTTCTTTGCTCTARATATGAAAACAAACAACAGTGGCTSYTCTAATCAAGRGAGTATTAACACATTGCCAAAAAAATTTACAATGCATTAAAACATTTATACAAACTCTAGAGTTATTTCACTGWAGAAACACAAACTACCATAGCCACGTACAAAAAATATTTGGAGAGAGTCGGAGGAATGGACTTGAGCCTGATAGAGTAACATACAGGTTTTTGGCATGGAATAACAATTTCCACAACACAGTGCATGATGTGTTTCTACTTGCAGAAATGAAGTCCTGTCATGCTGACTGGTATGTCATCATGCACATGTACTTAACTGGGATAGTCCAAGTCCCTCTGGAAGTCACTGATGCTTTATGGTGTAAGTTATTTAAAACTTCACAGGTGTACAGGGAGCTCTTTTCCAGTGTCATAAGTGAGCCTAAATAGAATCCTCCAAATAAGTGTTCATAAAGATCAATTTTTTCCTTATCTGTTCTAATGAAAGACATTAAAAAAAAAGGCTTGTGGGAAAGAGTTTGAAAGTAAACATTTTTTTCTCTAGCTTTGGTTTCTCAGCTTTGATGTCTGCCAGGTTCCTCATATTTTCTGKTTTTTTTCCCTAATGCCTGCAATACTTTGGGAAGGGAGAAGGTGACARAGGCCAATCTGCTGACCACATACACCCAATATGTTCTTCCTAAGTCTTCCTCTTGGTGACATTTCCAAAATGGAAAATTAACAACTACCATAAACAAAAAAAAATCTGTAATCCTAACTCCTCTTTCCACTCAATTTTTCATGCCAATGTGGACCAGTGTGGAAAGAGAGGGCCTCCAGASTATCAGCTTTAGTATATGGGGACACACGGGATAGCATGAAACAGTTGGAAGGCCAGGTTTAAACGTGTAACCTGAAACACTGGAAACCAGAACTCACAGCGGGTCTTAGCAACAAAATCAACAATATAGGCAGCGCATGACATGTGATCACCAAAGCAGAAGCAAGGTTGCTTAAATATAGCCTCTGTAGGTATTAGAATATTTCTGAGAAGTACACATCAAGTGTGAGACAGATGCTACTAATAAGTAGAGCTTTAGACATTTATTTTTGTATTTAAATGTCCAGCTATATTTATCTGAAAGACTTAACCATACCATTCTTGACAGAAAGGTATGCCAGTTACTTACTGCTGTCTAGACAAAAAGATTTAAAACTGGAAAAGATAAAACCTTTGTAAAGAAACATGGAAAAGTGCTTTAAGAATCCGTGAGAAGGGCAGTATCTCTGCACTTGAGTCCCCAGAGCTCTGGTTTTAAGAGCTTTTTCCATGGGGGAATTTAGCATATTCACTATTTCATAAACAGTTTCCTAATGCTTGTTCTTGAACCTAAATTGTTTGGGCTTKGGGGCAGAGGTTAGTAAGTTACGAAAACTCTAGAAAGCTTGGAAAATCAATCAGTCTTACAGGCAGGAGTGTTGTCTGATGATCATCTGACACTTTTGAAGTTGTGGCCACGGTGTGGTGAACCACTTCAAACTAGGATATAAAGATATGAATCATCTACAAGTGAGTAAGCTGTCCCACTTCCAAATTTCCTGAAAAAAAAGAAATCCAGACTACCTGGACACTCACCCTAAGTGTTTGGACAGCTTTAAATGGTCCTGTGATCTCAGTGAAGAAAATGTTCTTGAAATGAGTTACATGTTTCACCTCTATTTATAGCATAACCATAAACCAGACCTGCTAAACAGAGGTTTCCCAATCTCTGCTACAGATATTTGGTACCATGTGGTACATAAAGCTGGAAGGAAGTAGCACACCAAAGAGTTACCACAGACTTCAAGGAGCAGAAAGGTATGAAGAATTTCACAAGCTTCCCTAAATATTCAGAAACCAGTATTTTTTTTGGATGGTGCAAATATTACTCCACCACTACACCCTTTAAGCATTTAATCATCAGCCTAAACAAACAGACTGAGGGCAGCGTTCAAGTAACACTTCAGAACATCAGATCCCTATCAAAAGAGAAAGTTCTGGATGGACACAGGAATGAAATTGATGCAGTTCATTCCTTGATCACCCCTTTTTCACTGCAGAGTGCCCAAAGACAAAGCTCAGTCAGGGGGTTGGCTTTACACAGCTCACGTCTCCCATTCTGCGGGGTGCAGTGCTGAAGCTCAGATCATGGACACAGCGCAC